CATTTGGGAAGAAAAAATTAAATAATCCTGTCTGGGTTTTGTGCCTTTTCTCTCTGCCATTCCATGGTGTGGCAGGTAAGCAGCACATGGGGATAAAGCTGTGCTCAAGTTCCTACTCTGCTGTCAAGGGTAATCAAGGCCATCAGTAAATCAGGAAGGTTTCAGGAACAGGCTGTGTTCTGTGCCACTCTTAAAATACAGCCTTTTGCCAGTATCTGGACATAAAATGTGTCTTTGACCCTGCTTTTTCACAGACCTGTTGGTCTCTAAGTAATCCAGACAGGACTCAATTTAGAAAATATACTGGGTGAGAAAAAGGATATTTTGGGGCTTGTATTCCACTTCCCTCCCCTAAAAATAAAAATTTCTGCTTTTTCCTGCTGCCACTCATGCATATTTTATATATTCATTAGAGCAAAGACTTTAAAACAAGCATAAATCTTGCCTTGCTCATGCAGAGTTGACACATTGAGTTCCACACACCTTCCTCAGAAGGTGCTGCTTGCTTAGCCATGACCAGTCTGCTCCAGTTCCACGGCTACTCAGGGAGCATCTGCATCCTGTGGCTTCCCAAGCTGCATCGCTCCATCCCTGGGCATGCAGCAGACTGCATCCCTGAAAGGGGTGTCCTTGTGGAAATCAAGGTTGGAATCCCTTTCCTTGCTTTTCCAGGTCTGTATTTTAGCCTGGACAGCTTCAAAACTCCCTTTTGAAGCAGGATAGGTTTTTATTCCTCTCCCCATGGCCTCAGGGCATGCTGCCAGCCGGGAATGCACAGGGAAGGGTATGAGCTGTGCGTGTGGGGTTCCAACGTTTTGTCTTCCCTGGGACAGGATGGGTGGCCCTCAAGAATTATCCATGGAGACCTTTATTTCACATGTGCTTCTCAGTTTAGCTTAGGGTGTCAGGAAAAGTAAGTACATATAACGTTTCCCACTGTCAAAGGATTTGGGAGCAGTGCTAAGATGTTGATGGAGGGCTGTTAGCTGGAGCAGGATGGGAGTCAGGAATGAGCAGGATAACCCAGGGGAGTGCAGACAGCCTCAGCCCTGCAGCTTGTGGGGGATAAATGGTAGCACACAAGGTCTGCACTGATGTGTGTAATGCAATATTTCCATAAATACTTTCATTTATTAATTAAATTTTATTTTTCCAGGCAACTGACAATGACGTGGGCACCTTTGGGGAAGTCAATTATTTTTTCACTGATGACCCTGACCAGTAAGTGTGACTGAACCACCATGACTTCAGTCCTCCAAAATCCTCTTCTTACCTTACTAAGAAGTCATGGGGCAATTAAGGGCATTACTTATGTCCTACCTGTGAAATGCGCTATGAAATCCCCTCTATGCTGTCTCCCAGAGGGATGAGTTAACTTCAGCACATGCCTGATGCTCAGAATGTGTAATTGCTTTGCTAAATTGGGACCTACAGGCACCAGCACTGCTTGGGCCTGATAAATGCATTTGCCAACAAGTTGCTGGCCCTGGACCATCGCCTGTGACCCAGTCAGGGTGGGTGATTGGGGGAGGCATGTGGGCTGCAGAACAGATTTGGTGGCCTGTGCACCCATTTTCTCTGCTTGTAGAGCAGCACTGAGGGTTTCTCCATGCTCAGCTGTGCTGAGCTCTTGAAGATGTTCTGGGACCTAATATCCCTCAGAAGAAAGCCATGTACTTCACCCACCACCATGCTAGCTGTCAAGCTGCTGCTACCTCACCTTTCTGTCCCCAGCATGTGGTCACCAGGACTTTCTCCCTCCTTTCCTGTCCCCTCAGTTTCTCCCTGGACAAGGACACAGGTGTAATCCTCCTGACGGCTCGGCTGGACTTTGAGATCACACAGCGCTATACCCTGACCGTCATTGCCCGGGATGGTGGTGGGGAGGAGACAACGGGGCGCGTCAGGATCAATGTCCTCGATGTCAATGACAATGTCCCCACCTTCCAGAAGGAGGCATATGTGGGAGCCCTGCGGGAGAATGAGCCCTCTGTCAGCCAGGTGGTCCGGCTCCGGGTGAGGGACTGGAGCAGCTCCTCCTCTTGGGATGCACAGTGGGGTGATGGAAGTGGGTTAGAATCATAGAATGGATTAGGTTGGAAGAGACCTTAAAGCTCATCCAGTTCCAAACCCCCTGCCATGGGCAGGGACACCTTCCACTCGCCCAGGTTGCTTCAAGCCCCATCCAACCTGGCCTGGGACACTCCCAGGGATGGAGCAGCCACAGCTGCTCTGGGCAACTGTGCCAGTACCTCAGCACCCTCACAGAGAAGAATTTCCTCCTAAAATCTAATCTAAACCTCCCTCTGACAGTTTTAAATGATCAGTGCCTGTGATGGGTCCAACACAGCAGGTCCCAACAACTGGCTTCCTTCTGGAATGAGAAAAGCAGGAGAGAGGAGGATGGTTTACACATCCCCTTGGGGTGCCTAATGGGCACATCTTCCTCCATCACTTTTTCACTCTCCTTAGGCCCAGCCTGCGCATCCCTATCCCCTTGGCTCTCTCCTGTTGCATGTCTCTGTCACAGGTCCTGTGCTCACGTACTCCCTCTGCTCACACCCTAGGCAACCGATGAGGATTCCCCTCCAAACAACCACATCACATACAGCATTGTGTATGCATCTGCTTTCCGTGAATACTTTGACATCAGAGTGTCAGAAGGCTATGGAGGTAAGTGCCAGTCCCAGCACCACAGTGCAACTGATAAGCAGCAGCATCTCAGGCTGCACTCACAGCTTGGCAAGAAGTTATGTCAGCAGTCTTTAGGAAGCTGCTCTGGCAGCTCCTCTGCTTGTCATAACCTCACCTGCACCACGATCCCTTGCAGGAGGACTTGAGCCGAGCCACTGCAGAGCTGTGTTTCCGCATGTGTACAGCTCACTCTGCGTTATACCAGTGCAAGGAGCTCAGTAACACCCAGTGCTCATGTTTTTGGGGTATTGCCCCCTCAAGCAGCCACTGTTTGCCCTGGGGAAGTGGTGTGGACCGGCCACCCCCTGAGTGTGCTCACTGTACTGCATGAATGCCCCCCTGACAGCCCCCTTTGCATCCTTCTAGTGATCAGCGTGAACCATCCCCTTGACTATGAGCAGCTGGACAATGGGGTCATCTACCTGACTGTGATGGCCAAGGATGCTGGCAACCCTCCACTCAACAGCACTGTCCCTGTCACCATCGAGGTGTTTGTAAGTACAGCACCCCACATTCCTCTCATGCAATTGCTCCGTAGCAGTGCCACTAATTCATCAATAACCCAACAAGATATCCTACCCCATGCATGTGTATGCTTGGATTGTGATTACATGTGTCTCATATATGTGTCATATATGTCTCATGTACCTATGCGTCATATGTACGGGTTAAAGAAATGTAGTCCCTGACATCTGGGAAGGTCTGAGGGACAGAGGGTGACTGAGTGTCTCTGAGGGATGTCACCATGGGCAACTGCAAATGGGCTGTCCTGACCCTGTGCACCTCCTTGTTCTCCTTGTCTGTGCGGGATGCACAGGGAAGCCACTGAAGTAAGCTGGTAGGAGCCACAGCTAAGCACAGGCTGAGGAGCAAAGCCAAGAACAGGTTGGAAAACTACCCTCTGGAAGAGGGGTTGCTGCTGGGAGAGGCAAAGCATCGCAGCGTTCCTTGGGAAGATTAGCTGTGAGTGTCACTTTGAGGCACATTGTGGTTTGAGGATGTCTGGAGGGTGGTATCAGTGATGGAGACAGTTTGGTTGATAATCTATCAGTCTCGCAGTGATGGGATCTACACTGGGCTGGCAGCAGCGTTGGTCTGGGAAGGTGAAGGAGATAAAGCCATTGATGCTGTAGAATGGGAATGAAGTCCCATGAACATGTCTCTCCTCCAGCTCCCTCACTGTGCTCAGGTGAGGGGGAACAAGGCAGTGCCAGGGGGGTTAGTGGTGGTTAAATACATCCTTTCCATGCTGTGCTTTAGACAGCATAAACACCTCTTACTAAAGACCACACTTCAGTGGGTCATCTCCCCGGGCTGAGTCTGTACGCTGGTGGGGTTTAAGTGGCTGTCCCTTTTCCCATTCTCAACCAAAGAGAATTTTTCTCAACTGTAAAAAGAAAAGGGAAAAAAAGTGCCAGAAAATAGGAAGAAAATGAGAGGGAAGCATTTCTCGATGGCACTTGAGGAACAAGAGCCGTGAAAAGGCAGAATGAGAGCTAGTGTGGAGGGAGGTAAATTTTTTTCATCCTTTGGTTGTTGGTTTTTAATAAAGAAGTCAAACTCGCCTTGTAGATTTCCCATTAGGGGACAATACGCTTTTGTAGAGGGAGTCGCCGAGTCAGAACTAATAGTGCGGCCGCGCCAGGATCCCGGGAAATATCACCGCTAATAAGTTTCTGCCTCACTCCCTGCCACTGACGCCCTGCTCGGAGCAATGAGCCAGTGACTTACAGCATGCCTGTGTCTGGAGGAAAGGAGTTGTGTGCTTAGTGTGAGTGTTTGCAATTCTCAGCATCCTTAGAGATGGCATGGAGTGCTAGGACAAGAGGGAGGGGCTTCAAACTGGAAGAGAGGGGGGGTTTAGATTAGATCTTAGGAGGAAATTCTTCTCTGTGAGGGTGCTGAGGCACAGGTTGCCCAGAGGAGCTGTGGCTGCCCCATATCTGGAAGTGTTCAAGTCCAGTTTGGATGGGGCTGGGAGCAGCCTGGGCTAGTGGAAGGTGTCCCTGCCCATGGCAGACGGTTGGAACTGGCTGATGTTGAAGGTCCCTTCCACCCTAATCCATTCTGTGATTCCATGATATGATGGCTGTCTGAGGGTGAAGGTATAGGGAGGAAGGCTGAGGGTCAGGAAAATATGGGAAGCTTTTTTTAGCTGGTTAGGTGGACAGCTTCTGTAGGAGTGGAAGAATGCTGGGTTCTGCCTAGCATCACTGCGAGTGCCAGTGGGGACCTTTGGAATTCATGTTGCTGAAGTGGGAAATGTCCTTTTCAAGTAGAAGGCAGGTGCATGCCAACTCCAGCCAGATGGAGAGCCAGCCAGAAGCAAGCCCTGCCTCCCTGGGAGTGGGTTTGCTGGGCCACGGCAGTCCTGAGCATGGCCTGATGATCTCAGGAATGCTAACAGCATGGCATGGCGTCTGCTCTGGCTTCTGTCCATCCAGCCTGGACTGCAGCACAGCTCACTCAGGTCCAGCTGCAGGTGGCATGTGGATGCATGCTCAGCTTCTCCATTTCCTTTACCTTTAACATGCCCAGACCTCCTGGGTTTGGCCCTGGATGACCCCCACCCATCTCTGCGAGGAGGAGGAGGGATGTTGGGGACAGCACCCGGGCAGCCGGCAATTTCCTCATTAGCCTTAGAAGAGGCACAATGAAAGCTGAGTGATGCAAAGGCTGATTAAAGACCACCTGCTTCCAGCAACGAGAGCAGAGGATGGCAATTTAATTGCAGTACGATGGGCATCGTTGGCACGTGAAATTGCCTCAAATATCAAGTTTGGTGGCAGCAGGAGCAGCTGAGCCTGCAGGTCCATCAGTGGTCTCCAGGTAGAAATCGTCTCCAGAGCAGCCCCAGGGAAATGGTGATGTCCATAACAGTGTTTTAATGTCCTGGCAGCTCTGTCCTTCCCTCTGTAGGCAGTTGGGTTTGGTTCATTTAAGGCAGATTCTTAACAGTGTTTAAACAGCATTTAAAGCCCCCCAGGGGGAGATTTAAGCTGGTCCAAAATCTGTTTTGAGGGATGTTTTGAGCAGTTGCTCCTGCCTGGTTTCTCCAGGCTGGCCGTAGTCACTGGCAGAGACAGGCTTGGAGAGAGCGCATCGGTATGCAAACCCGCTCCTGCTCTGAAAACACTGCCTCTCTGAAAACACTCACAGCATTCCTCCTCTTAAAGAAAGGCATCCAAAGCTCAGCATCTCCTCAGGCCAGTCCAGTTTGCCTCATGGCCTCGTGGCCAGGGTGGCCTGGAGCCCTAAGCCACCTGTGTGCTGCTTGGAGCAGGAGGAGTGGGTCTGCTGCTGTGCTTGCCACAGTGTCTGAGCCTTCCCAGGGATGGTGGTGGAGGCAGGAGCAGCTCAGAGGATGCTCACCTGTCAGCAGTGGTGGTTCCTCAGTCCTGTGCCCAGGGTGCTGGGTGATGGGGTAGTCAGTATCATCCCCACTGCACAGCTTAGCAAAGTCACTGACAATCATCTTGCCACAGCCTCAGCTGCCTCCACAGTGAAACTTTGTGCTCAGCCCCCAGTGGCTCAACCCCAAGGCCACCTTGAGATGCAGTCGGCCAGGAGCATCCCCTAGAAGACTTTTGCAGCTGCTTGACCATTTTGCCTTTTTCCCAACCAGTCTCTCGACCTTCTCTTTGCTTCAGGATGAAAATGACAACCCCCCCACGTTCAGCAAACCCTCCTATGTGATAACCATCATGGAGGACATTATGGCAGGTACGGGCCACAGCCCTGCTCCTTCTCCAGGCTTGCAGAAGGGCCCTGGGTGTCTTACAGCCACAATGGGGCAGGTGATGCCTTTTTTGGGAGGTAAAACCAGAGACCTGGTAAACAGTCATAGCTGTGAGATCTTGCAGCTTGGCCCTCTGCATGCAGAAGAGGGGACCCCTTGGCTGGGTGACCTGCAGGAGCAGTGTTGGGGGACAGGGCAGCTCTGGGCTTGTTCCCACCCCTCATTTCTGCCTCCCTCAAGGAGCCACAGTGCTGTTTCTCAATGCCACGGACCTGGATCGGTCCAGGGAATATGGGCAGGAGTCGATTATCTACTCCCTGGAGGGCTCCTCACATTTTCGGATCAATGCTCGCTCTGGTAAGCCTCTGTTTGTGCTCTCCCCTTTTCCTTTTCTTTCTCTCTTTCATCCTCACTCCTTCCCTCACCCTTTCCTTCCTCTCCTCCAATCAGCCTGCTTAGGAGACCTACGATTTAAGGGATTCATCAGATTTCAGACACCACCACTTGCTTGGTCATTGTGAGAGCTTCAGCAGAGGCATCCATGGAAGTTCAGCTCCTAGTGGGAGTGACACCTAAGGAAAAGCTTGAGTGTGAGGGTTTCTGTTAGCTATGGAACTGCCAGGGTCCATCTGTTTGGAACAGAAGAAAGAGCCCAGTTGTGGAGGATCCTGACCCGGGTTTTGAGTTTCTTTTTTAACCTTGCCATCTCCTGTGACTGCAGGAGAAATCACAACAACCTCTTTGCTGGACCGGGAGGCCAAGTCTGAGTACATCCTCATTGTCCGGGCGGTGGATGGAGGTGTGGGCCACCATCAGAAGACAGGCATTGCTATGGTGAGTGTGGGAAGGAGTGTTTCCTGTCTCCTCGAGCCACTGTTGCCCACCTGGGGCTGGGATTATGGAGGGCTGTGGTGTTTTTAATTGTCACTCCTGCTGAGGGCTATCAGAAGATGTGTGATCCACATAGCAGACTAGAAGCTCCCTATGGAGCCTCCCAGAGACATGTGACGGCACTGGCCTGGGCCTGTGGAATGCTGAGTTCCCTTTGAGACTCTGGATAAGATTGTGTTCTCCTAATAGCTTTGTTGAAGGGCAAAGCAAGGGGGAAAAATGCCATGTGGTTCCTAAGAAGTTAAAGAATATTAAAACTTGGTGAGATGAGGTCAGCTGAGTAAGTTTGTCTGCTGCCATTAGCAGGGATAAACACCTGAAACTCAAAATAATAATTTTTGACCGGGAATAAGGGTTCATTCAGGGGCTTTGCAAGGTCTCTGGGTGATGGACCAGTGCCTGGGGTGCTTGGAGTAGAGGCAGGTCAGCAACCTTCCCCAGGGACCACTGCAGTGCCTTGGCTTGTTCCTGGAGACTCTGGTGTGCAGACTCGCATCTTCTACCACGGGGTGGCACCAGCAGCTCAGCCTGGTGTGACAGCAGGACACAGTGACTTGGGAGCCAAGGGCCCAGGAGAAGCTCCACTGAGACCCCCTGCTCAGGGGTGGCGGTTGCTGGTGGCTCCCCTCTGCCCCACTCCCCTTCAGCTGCAGCTCTTCCCTCAGACATCTTTATAGCCTCACAGACTGGGTTGAAATGAGTAATCCAGGGAGGTGAGAGACTCTCAGGCAGCAGGATGTATCCCACAGGTTCACTACTGTCACTTAGATGCCATTTCTCACACTGAGAATGAAGACAGGTAACACTTCAGGGCACCATCCTCAGCTGTGCTCTCTACTCTTTGCACCTCCCACCCCCTGTTACTGTACCTTCTCCTGATGTCTCATTTATTCTTTTTGTTTCTTGCTTTTTACCAGTCACTCAGGTTTTTTCTTCCTTTCCTGCCACATTCCCACTGCATCCTCTCCCCCACGGATTTGCCTCCCTCTCCCAGTGAAGTAGCTGCTTGAAAACATAGCTTGTGCCCCTTCAGTTGTTTTTAACTGTGAGATAATAAATACATGTGAGCTAAACCCAGAATGGATATGCCAAGGAGACTTGGCTGTGAAGATGCAGGATGTGGGTTTTCCCTCCGGAGGGTGAACACAGAATCACAGAATCATAGAACAATTTAGGTTGGAAAAGACCTCTAAGACTGAGTTCAACCCCTAACCCATGTCCCCAAGTGCCATATCTATATGGCTTTTAAATCCCCCCAAGTATGGTGATTTCCAGTGCCTGAAACATGTGTTGGGTACATCCAGGGGACATGCCATGCTGCCACAGGAAGCTGCACCTCTGGATGCAGTGTTGCTTCCTTGCTCTCTCACAGGTGAACATCACGCTGCTGGACATCAATGACAACTATCCCACCTGGAAAGATGAGCCATACTTCATTAACCTGGTGGAAATGACACCCCCCAACACAGACGTCACCACGGTACGTATGAGGGAAGGTGTCTACTACTCTAAAAGCCTGTTATGTTCACCTGATGAGTTTGTCACCCGCTTGGCTGGAGCAGGAGTCACCTCCAAACTGGTGTCACGTCCAAACCTGTGTCACCTTCAGTCCAACACCATCTTGGAGAATTGCATTGAAAGCTTACTCCTGATCCCCCCACTGCTGCCCATCCCTTGTGTTTCTCGTCCCTGCTGTGATATTTTTTTCCTTTCCAAATTGGGTGGATTTTGGCCAAATTCTCCTTTTCTTAGCCTCTCCTGCGACCTCCTTCAAGGACCTCTCTGAAAGATTTTGATTTACAGCCTTTCAAGTCCCTCTGGTGAAATAAAAGAGAAGGAGAGGGGGAGGCTACTCCATCATGCCGAGAGAAAAATGACGGGCATGAAACAGAAAATAGATGAGGGAAAAGTGAAGAGAATCCACAAAATCATATAAGGAGGAAGGCAGCAAAAAAAATAGTCTTTTTTTTTTCTGTGAGGAAGAAAGGTCTGGCAGCACTGACTGGGCCAGAGCACAGTGGTTTTCTCTCCTCCACACAGCACTAGCCCTGCTGCTCGGTGCCAGCTTGAAGTCATCTTGCCTATGACATCCCAGTTAGTTGCTGGGAAAATAATTATTGTGTCACCAGTCCGATGTAAATTCAGCTGCAGGACAAGCAGCAGGAGCTGGGGAAGTTATGAGTGCAGTGAAATTGGGGATTTTTTAATGTAAATGCCCCCTGTAATTAAAAACGTCACAGGGAGAACAATAAAGCACAAAATGTCTGGTGTGGAGGAGAACTCCACTAAGGAATTATTTCCAGCATTCCTGATGAGACAGCACAAGTTCCTCAGCATGCCTCTTTGTCCCGTTTGTTTTATTTTTCTGAAGGCTCTTTGTTTTTATCTGGTTTTATTTAAAAAGGAGGAAAACGAGTTTGATCGCTGCATGCTCATGTCTCTCTTGCCATGCCATTACCTACTGGGCTCTCAGGCCAGTTTTGGGGAGATTTAACACCACAGCAGAGGTCCCGAGGGTACAAAATCTCTGCAAATATCATGAAAATATACAGCTGGATGGAGGAAGGAGAGCTTGCTGCTGCTGGTGCAAGGAAGCCTCTCACATGGGCTCAGCCGTGTTGATGGACACTGGCGAATCTACATGGGAGCTCACCCACCACTCTGCTTTAATTTTTGGCTGTGTCTCTGTGGCAGGTGGTAGCTGTGGACCCAGACCTGGGGGAAAATGGCACAGTGGTGTACAGCATCCGACCCCCCAACAAGTTCTACAGCATCAACAGCACCACAGGCAAGATCCGCACCACTGGTGTGCTGCTGGACCGGGAGAACCCCAATGCCCAGGAGGCCGAGCTCATGCGGAAGATTGTGGTCTCTGTCACAGACTGTAAGCTCCACGTCCATCCCATAATGGTCTCTTCTGACCCTCTGCTCTCCCTCACAGATTGTTTACACGTGCTGTTGAATTTTCCAGCCTGATTTTGCCTTTATAACAAAGCCTCATTTTTCCCCTGTTTTGAGCATAAGTGGCAAAGATGTATTTGAGGTAAAAAAATGAGAGTGTGTTAAAACCTGCTGTTAAAACAAACCAGAAACCTTCAAAATGTGAGCATAGTCACTTATGTAGCAGCCTTGACAATGAGCCTGAGAGGCTGGAGCTCTCCGTCCCCTCAGCCTGGCTCCATCAGTATCTGGGAAAGTCAACTGGACAGGTGAGGGGAAAAGAGCTAATGTATTTTTCTCCAAAAATAGTACATTAGGGAAACTTTCCTTAGGAAAAAAGATAAAGATCTGAAGATAATTTTCTGTTTTCAGATAGTAGTAGGACAAAGGGGGAAGGTTTTAAACTGAAAGAGGAGAGATTTAGATTAGATGTTAGGAGGAAATTCTTTACTCAGAGGGGGGTGGAACAAGTTGCCCAGAGGAGCTGTGGCTGCTCCATCCCTGGAAGTGTTCAAGGCCAGACTGGATGGGGCTCTGAGCAACCTGTTCTAGTGGAAGGTGTCCCTGCCCATGGCAGGGGGTTGGAACTAGATGGTCTTGAAGGCCCCTTCCAACCCAGGACATTCTATGATTCTATCCATGACCAATCACCCATGACAATTCAGGGGCAACCCTATCCTGCTCTACTGTCTGCATAGAGAGTGAGGGCTCCTTTTTAGGGGAAAGGGATGAAAACAGCTTGAATGTTAACCTTGAGACCCCACCATTGACTTCTGCAGGTGGGAGGCCACCCCTGAGAGCTACCAGCAGTGCCACAGTTTTTGTCAACCTGCTGGACCTGAATGACAATGACCCCACTTTCCAAAACCTGCCCTTTGTTGCTGAGATCTCTGAGGGTCTTCCCGCAGGCTCCTCTGTCTTCCAGGTGAGTGTGTTCCATTGCTGCCATGACCTGTGCTGGGAGCTGCTGCAATCACTGCCATTGCTTCTGGAAAGCAGGCTAGCAATACATCCTTTCCATCTTCTCCATTCTCTTCGTCTCCTTCATCTTCTCCATCCTCTAGCAGTGCAACTGGGAGGATGCAGTAGAGGTTGTGCATCCCGCCCCATGTGCTTTGGAGATGATTCGGCTCCCCCATGCTCACCTTTTCCTTCTGCTTTTCCCACCAGGTAGTGGCCATCGACCTGGACGAGGGTCCGAATGGGCAGGTGACATATCGCATGCAAGTGGGGATGCCCCGCATGGATTTTGTCATCAACAGCACCAGTGGCCTTGTCACCTCCACCATTGTGCTGGACAGGGAGACGATTGCTGAGTACTACCTGCGGGTGGTGGCCAGTGACGCTGGCACGCCCTCCAGGAGCTCCACCAGCACGCTGACTGTCAAAGGTGAGTGCACCAAGACCCCTCCAAGACATGTCCAGATGCAGAGGCCACTCTGGTCCCAAAAATCAGTGACAAGGACACATCACTGAAGGAAATATGGTTTATATAGGAGACACTCTGAAGAATCAGATGGATATATGATCTGAAAACAGAATCATGTCTGGGTTTGTGTACGACAGGATATAGGGAGGGCAGCCCATCACAGTGCCATCCCTACAGGCTTCATGTCTGCTATTAGCATAGTGCAGAGATAGGGAAAACATGGTGTTTCTGGCAGGGCCCCCAAATTCTCTATCATTTTTAATCCATTCCTCATCTCCAGTGTTTCTTTTTCTTTCGGCCTGCCTTTTGCTTCAGCATGTGATTCCCATCAGCTGCATGCCTGGACAGCCCACGCAACCCCTATTCAGAGCTGGACCCTTATTGGCTGTCTTTAATTTAATGCATTGCTATTTGCTGGCTTCATGCAGCCCTAGGGCTAAGGATAAGTATCATCTGGAAATAAATTGACCCTGGATCATTCTTGGACCTGCATTTGGAAAAGAAGTTCCTGGTCCTGTACTTCTGGAGCTCTCTGCCATACACCAGGAAATACTGAGCTTATATTTAAGCCCCAGATTTTCCTTCAAATGAGGATGGAAGCCGGTTTGGTGCAAATAGTAACTTGAATTACAGTGATGTAAGGATTTTTGGATTTGAGGAGAGTGATCTGTATGTGTCAGAGGCAACCAAATACAGCCTGAAGCTTGAGGACCAGTCCTTACAGCCACTTGATATGCACCCCCAGTGCACAAATGGTAGGGACAGTCGGGCAGAGCATTCCCTGGGATGCTCAGAGGCAGGAGGCTTGGGAGTCCAGCAGACATCAACCTGACATCTGCAGGAGGGGCATCCCGGGGGGGAGGGCACTCAGCTCTGCTCCTCTTTTTCAGTTCTGGACGTGAACGACGAGAACCCAACATTCTTCCCAGCTATCTACAACGTGTCGCTGCCCGAAGATGTGCCCCGGGATTTCAAAGTGGTCCGGCTCAACTGCACAGATGCTGATATTGGGCTGAACGCTGAGCTAAGCTACTTCATCACAGGTGTGAACTGCATGCACAACAGGAGCTTTGGTTGCAGAAAGGCACAGGCTGCCCCAGACCTTGGCCAGGGTGTTCTGCACTTCAGTGCTGCCTTTTCCAGCCCCTTCAAACCTTGTCCAGCATCGCCCTCTGCTGAACAGCCCCGCTTGGCTCCCTACCGTGCTGACCATTCCACTGTGCCCTGCCTGGAGGGAACCGCAGGCCCCCAACTTCCCTGGGATGCAGCCAGGAAAAGCATGAGGATGGGCAGAACACAGCTGGGGAGCAAGGGCTGGGGTGGCATTCATGTGTGTTTATGGCTGGAAGGCAGGAATGGGATTTTAGGGCATTTTGTAGCTCTGGGCACAGGTGGGGTGGGGTGAGCAAAGGGCAGGTGGGCTGTGATGTCACCAGGGCAGCGCCCAGCTTGCACCACAGCTGCAGCGCCTGCAGCAGGAAGCTGGGGAACCCCCGACCACACTTTGACTTGCAAACTGCAGATGTGGCATTGAGCCCTCAGGGAGAGGTTAAAAACAGAAGTGTCACCGGAGAGTCACTTTTCTCACAATAGAGGCTGGTGGCTCATGTCACAGTCCCTCCAGCCTCCCACACAGGTGAAACAGTGTGTGTTGTCCCACAGGTACCACAGCTCACATGCAAAGTTAACCCAGTTTGATTCCAAAGCATCCAGGAAATGATCTGGCTCTTATATGATTCAGCTTTTCCTATGGCCATCCTGCACTGTGTGGCTGGCACGGCATTTGTTGAGGCAGAGGGAAGGTGTTTTGCCCACTTTAGCTGCAGAAAAGCTTTGCCATGGCTGGGCTGCCCCTGTGCCCAGGCTGCAGAATCCAAGGAAATGGCCTTAAGTTGCACCAGGGGAAGTTTACATCAGATATTAGGAAAGATTTCTTCACTGACAGGGTCGTCAAGCATTGGAACAGACTGTCCAGGGAAGTGGTGTAGTCATCATCCCTGGAGATGTTCAAGGCCAGGTTGGATGCGGCTCCAAACAACCTGGTCTGGCAGAAGGTATCCCTGCCCATGGCAGGGGTTGGAGTGAGATGCACTTCAAGGCCCCTCCCAGCTCAAAGCATTCCAGGATTCTCTGGTTCTATGGTCTATATCCTTTTCTGCAGGTGGGAACCACGATGGCAAATTCAGCGTCGGCTACAGGGATGGGGTGGTGAGGACAGTCGTGAGTCTGGACAGGGAGACTGTGGCATCATACACACTGATCCTGGAGGCCATCGGTAAGGATTTCCCACTGTTCCCTTGGCACCAGTGCCACACAGCCACATGGGGTGGCTGTGCAGGTGTCAAGCTGCCTCGAAGGTGTGTCAGAGAGGCAGCAACCTCCCAGGCACTCTATAAACCAGAGCTTGTGCTTGGTGTTAGCATTTCACAACCCACGTGAATTAATATGTCCTAGTTCCACCATGACTTTTGTACATAGCATATTCACCTCTCAGGTTTGCCTAGCCCCAGGGTTTTCCCTTTCCTCTGGGGAAGACAAGGAGCCCCCTTTCTTAAGAGGCTCCATAGTGTCCAGGGCAGTCCTTCACCCAAAAATGTCAGCACCACAGCATCGTTCCCCTAATGCCATTGGCTCTGTGGCTGTCAATTAACTCTGAGCCACCTGGCACGGGCAGAGGTCCTGTGTGCCAAACACAGCTTGGCTGTCATCCCCAGAGCTTTATAATGATGTGCCTGTTTACAGACGACTTGGATGTCCCTTTTGAAAGGAGAAATAAGTGGCCTGGTCAGAAATCTTGGGGGCACAGCATTGCAGATTACCATGGGGCCTGCAACAGGGATACTGTACTGGCTGGGCACTCAGGACCAGATCCCAAGGGGTAAAGGGTCCATTCTGCCCCTCCAGTGGCTATCAGGCTTCCTTTGTTTTCCCAGGAACCAGATCCCACAGGCTCCAGTTGGGTAGCTTTAGTGCTCACCACATCAGACGTGTTGAAAAAACCAAACCCAACTGATGCTTCCCAGTGCCTCATCCTTCCTGGCAAATCTGAGCCATGCTGCCATGTCCTTTTCTACTGAACATCAACCTGTACTGGTGCTCTTTGGCTGTGATCTGAACTGCAGCTATGGAAAGCTCATCAGACCCCTACCTGTCTTTATCTCCCAAATCTCTGGCCTCCAACAGTCCCTTCCAGCACACATCACTTAGTCCATGAAATTGCAAACTCGGTCTAATGGCCAGTTGCATTTCCAGCCTTGCCGGGCTCCATGGCAGAGCTTAGGGGTTGTTTGGCTTTTCCTTTTTCTTTCAGGATAGGATGGAAAAATAACCACCTGTGGTTCAATGTGGGATGTGGGAGCTGCAGAAAAGAGGAAGGATTTTAGTTTAGACATTTTGATCCTGTTATTTCAGCAGCAGAGGGCTGAGCACCACCTGTGCAGGGAGGAGATGGAGGTGACCAAACCTCCCCTTGCCTTTCTCTCCTGTACAGACAACGGTCCCACCGGGAACCGGCGCACTGGCACTGCCACCGTGTATGTGACGGTCCTGGATGTCAATGACAACCGACCCATCTTCCTTCAGAGCAGCTATGAAGTCAGTGTCCCTGAAGACATCCCAGCTGCCAGCAGCATAGTACAGGTATGTGGCTCTCTTCCACCAGGATCCTTGGATGGGAGGAGAGGGTTAGAGGGTCCCCCACTAACTGCTCCCTAGCACTGCCACTGTTTGCTGCAGGAGGTCCACCAGAGCAGAGATCTCCATCAGTGGTCTGTTCGCCTGGGGCAGGGTGAGATGTCTTCTTGCTCATGAGCTCCTCTGCTCTCCCTGGCTGTGAGCACTGGGGAGAAGACAGCAAAGAACAAGGGAAAATTAAGAAATTCACCCCATTTCTGCAGGGGGAGAAAGGAGAAAAGGCACACCCTATGCTGGTGAGGCCACTTTAGCTGTGTCCCTGCTTTCTCCCTCCTCCCAAAGTGGACATCTCAAGGGGATGGGAGAAGAGTGCCTGTAAAGAGATGCTCGGAGTGGCAACGAGGAAAGGAGGGAGAAAAGCATTTGGACTTTTCTTTCATTTTTGTTCCTCTTTGAGGGAGCGGTGGGCAGAGCTGAATGGCTCAGTGAGCACCAAATGAATGCAGGCATTCACACGGCCTCCGAGGCCTTCCAGCATCCCTTCAAACCCAGGGCTCTTCTGGAGCAGGCACCAAAGGCTCTTTGCAGAGAGCCCTGGGAAGGCTCCTTCTGCCTTGAATACCTCTCCCAGCACAGGGAAAGGGGCAGCTTTGTCCCTGACTGTGGTGGGCAGGATGAGTCACCCAGAGAGAAGAAAGGATCCTTTCGCCTCTTGCAACAAAGGTTTGCTGGGAGCTGTAGGTTGTGCTCGGGGCAGCTGGCCCCCAAGTGTGAGTCCTGTGGCTCCTCATCACCTGTTGTGCTGTGGCATGGTGTATGTGATGTCTCTGGGTCAGGCAGCTGCCTGCAATCCCAGGGTGGAGGTGTGCAGGAAGAGAAAAGCCTGCATGGGACTCCTAAAACTGAACCGGTTTGGAAGGTCAAAAGAGCGGAGGCAACTCAAGTCTGACTGACATCAAAATGCTTTTTCTTAGAACCAGCTTTCCAAAAGAGGGGGCTGCCCTTGGAAGTCTGTGGAATAGGAGAGGAGGTATTTGGGGGAAGTTTGTTTTCCACAGAACATCAGAGGAAAATGGAAATGAGCAATCACCTGGCTTCAATTCAATTTAATTTACACATTTAGTGCGAACCAGTTGTACAGAAGGTCTCTCCTTTCAAATGCATCCCCACATCCCAATGCAACAGGAGAGTTTCTGAATGTTTCCCCATCCCTTTCTCCCAAAGTCCAGGGCCAGAGAG